CGATCAAGCAGATCGGATCATTAGCCAATCAGGACATGGTGCGTTTATATTTGTTCACATTAAAGGAACACTCCGACTTTTTGGGACTTTAGCCTATTCACCTTATCCCCCAGAGTTAGATAAGTCCATACATACCTTTTTCATCTCCATGCGTGCTATAAGTCTGTTTGACGCACCCACCGCTAGCTTAGCTTAGCACAAAGACTGGATGTAAATGGTTGCAGCTAGCATACTAATCCAAATAAGTGACAAAAAAACGCAAACATTTTCCTATTTACATGTTGTGATTTGTATAGTCACAGAGTGTACAAAAAAACTACGTCACATGAGACACAGACATATTTTAACAGTATAAATACTGGGAACTATATTCTCTGAAGGCGAAGCACTGCTACTTGGGCGGAGTGATAACCGCAGCACCTGAGACGTACCGTACCCAAACTCTGAACGAACTCTCTGCTCCTCACCACGGCACGTCTCAGGTGCTGCAGTCATCACTCCGCCCAAGTAGCAGTGCTTCGCCTTCAGAGAATATAGTTCCCAGTATTTATACTGTTAAAATATGTCTGTGTCTCATGTGACGTAGTTTTTTGTACACTCTGTGACTATTCATAGATGCCACCTACGTCACTACCAATAGAACGCCGCCATATTTACGACCGATCTCGCCCGGTATGGCCGCCCAAACTGCCTTTTTGAATAAGAGAGAGAGACAAAAATACCTTGAGAAAATGTTAATTTTAGGCTCCGATCCTTATTTATTACCCCCAGTTTTCTTTTGCCCATTATTATCTGCCCCAGACTTGCCCTCCATGATATATATATATATATATATCTTGTGCATAACCCCTCCCCATACAGTGGAGATCGCTTAAAGGCTGTCAAAAGTACCGATGCATATCAATATGCTGTAGCTGGATGGGTAAAAGACGTAAAAGTGCAGCGCTGGCCACCAAGGATTTATATTTAATCATGGGAAATGTAGGTATTATAAAAAAAAATTAAAATGTATGATTTTGGTGGTATTTTGCTCTGAATAGCGAGTTGTTAGCTAGGTAAGTGACTAACAGCTGGTAGCTTGCCCGCTGTTAGCCACGGCTCACGGCTAGCTGTCATTAATCTGGATTAGGCCTCTTGCAATAGTCAATAAATCAATTAATCACACGGAAAAAAAAATGTGCGCGATAATTTCCATTTGCATGCTTGTTTGTTTTCCTCGTCTCTCTCTCTCTCTACCAAAGAGACTGGATGACAACTCTGTTTAAGACATAACCGACATATTTTACGTGAATACTCTCCAAAACAGACATTTAAACATAATGTTGTGTGTATTTGTCCATTCAGACACGAAACAGAGCTCAATTCATTACTCGCGCGCTGTATAGGGCAGTGTTTCCCAACCCTGTTCCTGGAGGCACACTAACACTACACATTTTCCAACTCTTCCTAATCAAACACACTCATCAGCTCGTTAGTAGATACTCCAAGACCAGAAATATATGGGTCAGATAAGGGAGACATCCAAAATATGCAATGTGCCTCCAGGAACAGGGTTGGGAAACACTGGTATAGGGGTCTATGGCCGCACGCGTCGGGTCGTGTGTGTGCGCACAGAAAGATGAGACATGATGATACAATATGAGACATGCAGCGATGATCTCTTCGAATGACAGCTAACCACTTCTTTCTTCTACCCTTTTCTTTTGTTATATAATAAATACCAGTTCGGGGTTCCTCTTTCGGCTGTTTTTGCAGCCAACTGCAGAACATATTGCAGGCATTACTGAGACCGTCGGTCGTAAAGATGGCGGCGCAAAGCTACAGTGACGTCATGTGACCCGAACGAATACAAATCCCAACATGTAAATAGGAAAATGTTTGCGCTATTTTGTCACTTATTTGGATTAGTATGCTAGCTGCAACCATTTACATCCAGTCTTTGTGCTAAGCAAGGCTAGCGGTGGGTGCGTCAGACAGAGTTACAGCACGCACGGAGATGAAAAAGGTATGTATGGACTTATCTAACTCTGGGGGATAAGGTGAATAGGCTAAAGTCCCAAAAAGTCGGAGTGTTCCTTTAAGCAGCCTGTATCTGGATAACCGATCGGATTTCTGTTTCCCGCATAATATTTAAATTAGGTCTGTGGCACGACACCAGATTAGCCTAATAAAGATTATACAAATTAAACAACATCCCAATTGCTTTCACTCACTAAAATGAATGCAGACACGATGGCTGGATTGCGTTTACATTACACTGAGATCCGATCACAATGCGTCCTCGACTACCTCCGAACCGGGACACGCTGATCGGATAACATTCCCATCAGAGGTGCGTTTACACACGTCTTTTCAATGTGTATGTGGACAACATCCACAGGTAGCATGTTAATGCCAAGTGTAAACGCAGTTTGAGTGTATTTAAATAAACGTGCTGGGTTTGGATCCTGCTTCCTCCTTGCTTCAACCTCACCTCATAACATAGCCCTGGTTTATACATTTTTATAATTGTATTAATCATAATACCTTCAGAAGACTTTTCTTCATGCTGCTATTGTCATACAATAAAAAGTATTATATTCCTACTTCCATAGTATGGCAAATTATTGCAAATTAGAAAAGTTTAGCAGGTACACAGAATTTTGATGCACATTATCTTATTTCCCCTCAATGATGGAAGTGTTCATTTTCAGGTGTAGCTAATCCTTTACAAGGTGTTATTGAACCTTTCCATTGTATAACATTTGGAAGCTATAAATTTGAATCTTGTGTGATTTAATATTTATAGTACTCAAAGCACAGCTTAAATAACTTAAGGGTTAACATTTATGGAGTAGCCACACTGTTATTATTAAATGTTTATGTAACAATAAACCACCATTAGTAACATCAGTCCATCTGTTCACTTTACAGACGAGCATGAAGAGACTGGGCCACAGTGCTAGTTTGGCATCGCCACACTACTTATATTAACACTGTTTCTATTTCATTTAAATGTTGATATGAAAATATTTGTTATTGTTTAAGCAATAATAGCATTTCAAATTAATAGCATTTCAAATTAATAGCGTTTCAACTTTTTGATGTGCTGTGCAAGTGTGCAGTTATAGAATTAAAAGTGTGCACTTTATTATTCACATCAATGGTTGTGTTAATAAAAAATAAAGTTGAAAGAATGGTGCAGAGACATTATTAACCTTAAAATAACATTTTAACATGAAAAGAAAGTGGACATTTTAATGTTCTTGAAATGTTCCAAATAAGCGTTCTTTGAATGTTGTATTGTTAATAAAATTTTTGGGGAAAGAATGTTGCTGGAACGTTATGCTAACCTTAAGATAACGTTCCAGCAACGTTAAGTAAACTGGACATTTCCACGTTTTTAGAACATTTCAAATCAACGTTCCCACAACCAAAATGGAACGTTCTCAGAACATAACTTTGTTTGGGTAGCTCTAAATAATGCCAGACCCCTGTGGGAATCACATCCATGACAGTAGAAAACTCCCTGGAGTTTTATGGACATATATAAACATGCCTTCTTGATTTAACAATTAATCGACTCATGTCTAAAAAACATCTTTCAAAAAATAAGGATTTATTTTTAAATAATATAGTAGGCCTGAATGTTAATTAAATATGTTAGGAGAAAAGTTATTTATATGGACCAAGCCAGCAACATTTGTTTGTGAAACAAGATAGGTTCAGATGGATTTTGTCAATTTTGTAATTGCAAATCAAAGACCACCCCTAATTAGGAGAAAACAAAATTAGGTACAAAATTCCAAAGAGAATTTGGACTTAGAATGAAATGTCTAATCCAATTAATTAAAATAATATTATTTAGAGTTCAGAAATCAAGGAAGTTCAATCCACCTGATTCATAAGTAGGCCTAATATGTGTTTTGTTTCTCCAAAGAAAATTAAATAAAACCGTATGCACTAGTTGCTCCAGTATTTTTTTTTTTTTTTTATTTATTTTTTTTTTTTATTATGCTTACAAACAAACAAAGATGACAATCGTAGCATACAATTATGTTACAAAATTGCAAACATATCTGTACAAAATATGACAACAATATGTACAGAGTCATCTTAACACAAGTGTGTAACTATCTAAAACAAACAAAAAACAACAAACAAAAAAAAATAAAAAAAAATAAAAATAAAATGAGGGTCAAGAGGGCAAGATATTCTATACAAAATTTAGAGTAGGTCTAACCAAATTAAAGTCATTACAAAATAAAAGTGTTTTTATTGCTTTCTTATTTACTGAGGATGAGATAGTGTTAAGGTACATTTCAAATTCTTTCAAAAAAACTATAAAAATTGGTTTGTTGTTGGAGAATTTACATTTATGGATATAGAATTTCCCAATAAAATAAATTAAATTGGTTACAAAGCAGGCTTTTTTTTTAACGGGATCAGAGTCAAAGTATCCAAAAATAATGTCTTTAAAGGTTACTGATATATCTTGCTGGATATTATCTTTAATAAACTTGCCAATACTTTCCCATAGTTGTTTAGTATAGAAACATGACCAAAATAAAACATAAACAGTTTCTGTATGAACTTGGCAAAATGAGCATCTTGTATCAATATTACTTTTATATTTAATCATGAAATATTTAGCAGGGTAAAATTTATTTAATATTTTGAAGGATACTTCTTTTACTTTATTTGTTAAAAAATATTTTTGTGGTAAGGACCAAATCTTTTCCCAGTTGCTCCAGTAGTGGGCACTCGTGCAACCTAGTCAATGACGCACATCCGAGTCCACGAGACGGAGGGAAGTTAGCGAGTGAAGGGCATAGAAATGAGGAGTGGAACACAGCCTAGGATGGATGGATAGTGTGCATATTAGGACGCACGGGCGCAAGTGTGGGTATTGTGACAGGCCCAAGTGGGACAGCGTCACGTCACGTATTTAATATTCATGACCTAAGTCTTTTCCATAGTAGGATTCGTTAATTCGCTTCCTGCAAGTCCAGAGTGTTACTCCGCCCCGTGAGCGTGAGTTGTGCTGAAGATAATAATAGAAATAGGGCAGGGTCCAGGAGACAAACGCGCTTCGGCCAAGAGCGATTTCACAACTTCAGTATGACATAAACGCAGTGACAGCCAGGAGCCTGAAACCTGACGAGAGGACTGAGAAAACAACACTTGCTGTCTCGCGGTGAAACGGCTTGGGGCGACGCGCACGGAGTTCAGCGATCAACAGAACTGCGTTACTTCGGAAACTTCTATACATGAGCTCCGATAAATGCGCGTAAGCTCTTCCCAAACGCTTGTGTTGCAGGACATCGATGCATTTCCCGGAGTGGGATATCGTTTCTTCGAGTCGTGACGCGCGGGTCCGCGAGCAGTCCTTGATCTCTGCCGCTATCCTTCTCGCCAGACCTATACTGATAAGCGCATTTTTAGTCTTTCATCTTTAAACGAAACGATAATCGTCTTTATTGTAGGTTGTCGGTGCCGATGACGTCACTCGCGTCACTTTTATTGACTTGTTTGATGCCACTGGTATTTGGCTACCAGGAATGCCAGCCATGAAGTGTGCTGGTTGAGTAGCTGTATTGTTGTGGCTGGACTCATTCGACAAACTGATGAAAAATGAATACAGATCTGGAGGCTATTTCTCTTTCTGTACCCTCTCTCGGTCAACCCCTAGACATGATCGGACGGAGTCATGCGGAATCCAGTGGCGGGATGATTTCTGGTGCCGGGACCTTGTGGCACGACCCCTCTATCTGCAAGAGTGCCCACCCTGGGGTGATCAGTTTGCCCTCGGACTGTGGCACCTTGCTGACCACGGGGAAATGTAAAAACCGAGCTGTAACAGTGGCCTACGTGAGGAACTCTGAGACGAGCCAATCTCTCAGCTCAGAGAACATGGCTTTACAGTGTCTGAAAGATGCTTGTGACGTTGTGGGGTGTAAACTAGATGTAATTCCCTTTGGAAAGCTGGACTTTGGTGAAACTTCAGTTCTTGATCACTTTTACAATGCAGGTAAGTCTACTGAGAGATGTCCTGCAAATAAATGTGAATGCCATTTGCTTAATCAACACAGTGTGTTGACAGCTCTAATGCTGGCTGGTTGCAACCTTTACCGTGTATTAGGTGTGTTTGGTTTGTTTCTTTCCCTTTGGTTTCTATCTTGTTTTCCGGCTCTCACCTTTTCCAGTAAAGTTCTCAGAATGAAGTGATTTGATGGTATCACTCCCCCTCATACCCACAACCCAGGGTGGAGTGCAGGTGAATGCAAACAACGTTTACCTTAGTAGCTTGAAACTTAATGTAAACAGTTGATCTGCAGCAAAACCAGACAGGCACAATCTTGTTATAAATGTTAAAGTCACCATATCACCATAACCAGAGCTGTATGCATGTCCTTGGGAAGTGTAATTCCTTGCTTAAGTCTAGAGGAGCTGTTGACTTTTTCCCAAAACACTCAATTATTACAAACACCACCACATTCCTTACCTGGGTCCATTCTTCGCACCTCGCTTACTACATCTGAGATGATTTGACAGATGCCAGATCATATAATCATGATAACTGATCTCTGGATAATTTGGCTCTTCAGTCGAATTTGTGGATTTGATTAAAATGTCTGGATTAAGTTGTCTGATATTGCTGCGCATTCTTGTGTTCATTGGAAAGGGCAGATATATCGATACTTGAAACCATGATCAGCAATGCAGCGATTGGCTGGCGGCAAGACAGACACGCAATGACATCATATTAAAAAAGAACATCACACACCTGACGAAAAACTTTCTGGACCTTTATAAGGAAACAGCCAAGTGACCAAAACGACATAAAAGTTATAATTGGTACTGTTTGTTACATGATTCCCAATTATTTCCATTATCTTTGGAGCAGATTTGTATGACAGCATTATTTAAAGTTTTTTAAGGGTCAAGAAAATGTTTCTATTAGCACATCAGATAATAATAAATTATAATACAATTACTATGTAATTTTTCCCTCATGAAAAGTGTCTATATTATGATAGACTAAAGAACATTATAATATTATTTTCTAATACATGTTTTAAAATTATTATTATCATTTTTTTTTTATTATTATTGTCCCTGGTTCATTAAGGTACTCTTGTAATAAAGTAGCAGTGGCTGGGACAGACTTTACTTAGTATCACCTCCGCTTCAAAAGATGCATTTAATCCTGTTTCCATGAATAAGCTTCTCCCGAGCAGGTTCGTTTAAGCCTACGGATCTGTTGCTATGACAGCAACTCCGGGATGCGCTGTGAAGAAGCTAACAATCCTGGATCATGGCAAATCGTCAACAATGAAATCCAGATAACGGAGTAATACACGTGCAAAGAATGGGCCCTGAACTCCTGTGTGTTACCATGCGTTGCAAGATTGTCCTAATCCATAAAGTTATTACTTGCAGTGACAAAAGACTGAATTTGAGGTATTTAATTAAATAATTTAGAATATTTGTAGTTATTGAGAGTCCTTGAAATTGTCAGATATTTTGGGACAAACGACTTATAGTAAATCAAGAATAGTTTAATAACACCCATAACTGTAGAATAAGGGAAAGGACCGTACTGAGGTAAAATGAAGTGATAAAATGAGTGAATTAAGTGCTTTCCCCCCTATAATCCTTAGCTCTTAAATATTTCATCTTGTTCTGGATCCTTGTCATCTTGTTTGACTTGGTTTCTTTTAGACACTCATTTAGAGACAGACGCTCTGATTCGTTGCCTGGGGTTTTCTGAGACCGTCCACAGCATTGTTCTCTCCATCATTTGTAAGGTTAAGGGTTTGATGTTCGGTTTGCTTTCTCTGCACATAATTCTGTATGTTTCACCATAGTTTGGTTCCACTTGTCTGAGAATGCGGTTTCATCCATGTGGCCTTTAGATTTAAAAACTCAAGAGGATTAGCCTAGCTCTTGCTAAGGCTCTGTCTTATGTTGGACGCTGAGATGTTACGTTGGCTGAAACCCTCAGAAATGCTTTGCCATTTGTTTGTAGCATATCCAAGTTTCGTAAATTAAACGATGAGTTTAGATGTCATTGTGTAACCTTATCCTGTCTTGTGCACTTCAGCAAGCTTTTTGAGCTTGTCAACCTTACACTTGAATGACTGCAACTCCTGACCGCACCATTGCATGAGTTTAAAGGAACAACGCAATCACCACCATGTCGTTCAAAACATGTATGACTTTCTTCCTTTGTTGGAACACAAAAGAATCTCATTTTTAGAAGAATCTCATTTTTTTCTATACAATCAATAACGACATGTCTTACACTACATCCAAGTCTTACACTACATCCAAGTCTTACACACTACATCCAAGTCTTACACACTACATCCAAGTCTTACACACTACATCCAAGTCTTACACACTACATCCAAGTCTTACACACTACATCCAAGTCTTACACACTACATCCAAGTCTTACACACTACATCCAAGTCTTACACACTACATCCAAGTCTTACACACTACATCCAAGTCTTACACACTACATCCAAGTCTTACACACTACATCCAAGTCTACTACATCCAAGTCTACTACATCCAAGTCTTACACACTACATCCAAGTCTACTACATCCAAGTCTTACACACTACATCCAAGTCTTACACACTACATCCAAGTCTTACACACTACATCCAAGTCTTACACACTACATCCAAGTCTTACACACTACATCCAAGTCTTACACACTACATCCAAGTCTTACACACTACATCCAAGTCTTACACACTACATCCAAGTCTTACACACTACATCCAAGTCTACTACATCCAAGTCTACTACATCCAAGTCTTACACACTACATCCAAGTCTACTACATCCAAGTCTTACACACTACATCCAAGTCTTACACACTACATCCAAGTCTTACACACTACATCCAAGTCTTACACACTACATCCAAGTCTTACACACTACATCCAAGTCTTACACACTACATCCAAGTCTTACACACTACATCCAAGTCTACTACATCCAAGTCTACTACATCCAAGTCTTACACACTACATCCAAGTCTACTACATCCAAGTCTTACACACTACATCCAAGTCTTACACACTACATCCAAGTCTTACACACTACATCCAAGTCTTACACACTACATCCAAGTCTTACACACTACATCCAAGTCTTACACACTACATCCAAGTCTTACACACTACATCCAAGTCTTACACACTACATCCAAGTCTTACACACTACATCCAAGTCTACTACATCCAAGTCTACTACATCCAAGTCTTACACACTACATCCAAGTCTACTACATCCAAGTCTTACACACTACATCCAAGTCTTACACACTACATCCAAGTCTTACACACTACATCCAAGTCTTACACACTACATCCAAGTCTTACACACTACATCCAAGTCTTACACACTACATCCAAGTCTTACACACTACATCCAAGTCTTACACACTACATCCAAGTCTTACACACTACACTACATCCAAGTCTTACACACTACACTACATCCAAGTCTTACACACTACACTACATCCAAGTCTTACACACTACACTACATCCAAGTCTTACACACTACACTACATCCAAGTCTTACACACTACACTACATCCAAGTCTTACACACTACACTACATCCAAGTCTTACACACTACACTACATCCAAGTCTTACACACTACACTACATCCAAGTCTTACACACTACACTACATCCAAGTCTTACACACTACACTACATCCAAGTCTTACACACTACACTACATCCAAGTCTTACACACTACACTACATCCAAGTCTTACACACTACACTACATCCAAGTCTTACACACTACACTACATCCAAGTCTTACACTACATCCAAGTCTTACACACTACATCCAAGTTGTCTGAAGCCATACGATAGCAATTGTGTGAGATCCAGTGGTTCACAAAGGGTGAAATATAGATAATAATAAAAGTCTGTCATCATTTACTTACCCCAGAGTTGAGTTTCTCTCTTCTGCTGAACACAAAGGAAGATATTTTGAAGGATGTGGGTAATCAAACAGTTGAAGGGGAAAAAATACTATGGAAGTCAATGGGGTCCATCAACTGTTTGTGTACCCACATTCTTCAAAATATCTTCTATATATATCTAATATATGTTTTCAACGGAAGAAAGAAGCAACATGAACAGCATGAGGGAGAGTAAATGATGACAGAATTCAATTTTCATTTTTCTATCTCTTCAAGTAGTGACTCTTCAAGTTGTGTTTTTTATATACCAATCTAATCTTGGCCAGCATCAGTCACCACTGTTTAGATTCTGGTGTTAACCACTAAAACCCATATGAACTTGCATTAAATATGAATAAGTTATACTGTTTTTAAATATTCAGTTTTCCCTTATGAGGCACTGAAGAAACTAGGCTAGATAAAACATTGTTTGTATGAAATCCTCAAGTTAAAACAGAAATAATGCATGCTTTTGTTATCATTTGCATATTTTAAGATGCCTTTTTGGTCCATAGATGCATTTCTTTATTATTATTATTGTGCACTCTTGCTTGTTTTGATGACTGCATTATTGATACAGTGCATTTTTTTTGGCATGAATGTTTTGTCTATCGATCAAAGGTAGCATGTTTTACATAGTTATAGCATTTTTTAAATGTTTGAACATGTTTTAATAGTGGATGCGTAAGAGTACTCCTGGAGAGAGTTTGAGGATAAAGGGTTTGCAGTGGAACGCAATCTTATCAGAGGCTTTCTCTGTCTGATTACAAGCTCTTGTATATTATGGTTATCTCTCTCTGCAAGGGCTGGTGATCAGATAGAAGTCTCCTTTGTAATTTGTATGTGGAAAGTTAAAGATGTGTGGTGATTAAAGCAAGTCTGATTTTATTTTGTTGTGCTGTGCCATACCCATCAACAGGGTTTATATGAGCACACATGGGCTGCATAAGAATGCTGTATATTGGGTGGTCGAGTAGTATGTACAAATTCACAATATTCATAAAACATTAGGCAATAATTACCCGGA